CAAACAACAACAAGTGCTGGCGAGGATGTGGGGAAAAGGGTACACTTGTACATTGCTGGTGGGACTGCAAATTGGTGCAGCCAATTTGGAAAGCAGTATGGAGATTTCTTGGAAAGCTGGGAATGGAGCCACCATTTGACCCAGCTATTCCCCTTCTCGGTCTATTCCCTAAAGACCTAAAAAGAGCATGCTACAGGGACACTGCTACATCGATGTTCATAGCAGCACAATTCACAATAGCAAGACTGTGGAACCAACCTAGATGCCCTTCAATAGATGAATGGATAAAAAAAATGTGGCATTTATACACAATGGAGTATTACTCTGCATTAAAAAATGACAAAATCATAGAATTTGCAGGGAAATGGATGGCACTAGAGCAGATTATGCTAAGTGAAGCTAGCCAATCCCTAAAAAACAAATGCCAAATGTCTTCTTTGATATAAGGAGAGTAACTAAGAACAGAGTAGGGACAAAGAGCATGAGAAGAAGATTAACATTAAACAGAGATGAAAGGTGGGAGGGAAAGGGAGAGAAAAGGGAAATTGCATGGAAATGGAAGGAGACCCTCAGGGTTATACAAAAGAACATACAAGAGGAAATGAGGGGAAAGGGAAAAATAATACAAGGGGGAGAAATGAAGGTCAGTAGATGGGGTAGAGCGAGAAGAGGGGAGGGGAGGGGAGGGGAGGGGGGATAGTAGAAGATAGGAAAGGTAGCAGAACACGACAGTCACTAGTATGGCAATATGTAAATCAATGGATGTGTAATTGATGTGATTCTGCAATCTGTATATGGGCTAAAAATGGGAGTTCATAACCCACTTGAAGCAAAGTGTGAAAGATGATATATCAAGAACTATGTAATGTTTTGAACAACCAACAATAAAAAAAAAACAGTAAAAAAAAAAAAAGAATTTCTCAAGGAAAAAAAGAAAAAAAAAAGAGAAAATTCAAACTTCTCATAACAGAAATAAAAGAGACAACATGACTATTAATTTCATAGGCTTTAAAAGAACAATAATAGAATAATATGTATAATTGTATGCCCACAATTTGATAAAATAGATAAAAGGGACTGATTCCTTAAAACATACAAATATATAAGGAGAAATTAATAATCTGAATAGGTCTATAGATCTACTAAATAAGTTGTTAATGACTAATAAACTTTCAGTCAATAATTAATATCCTAATGAGAAATTAATTTTATTCTATCTTTATTTGAGCCTGTCTTCAAACTTTCTTTATGCACATCCAAGACTTTGAAGTACATAAATTCCATCACTCTGAAGAATTTTCTTTGACATTCATCATAAAGTCGTTCTACTGGCAATAAATTTGTTAAATTTTCATTTTTCTGAGAAATTCTTCATTTTCCCTTAACTTTTAAAGTATAATTTCACTGAATATAGAATTCTAAGTTGTTGGATATTTTCTTTCATCATTTTAAAAAAGTTCATTCCACTTTCTTCTTGCTTGCCTGGTCTTAAAAAAATCCAAAGTACTTCTTACACTTGTTCCTGTATAGACAAGTGTTCCGGCTTTCAAATTTTTCTGCAGTTTGAATTTAATACACCTAATAGTATATGTATGCTGATTATGATTCTCTGAGCTTCCTGGATCTGTGGTTTTGTATCTATCATTAATGTTGAAAAATTCTCAGTCATTATTGTTTCAAATATTTCTTCTCTTTCTTGCTTTGATTGTTTATTTTTGTGCTTCTGGAATTTTCATTATGCATATGTTATATATTTTTGGAAGTGTTACACAGTTCTTGGTTATTCTGTGATTTTTTTCCATTGTTTTCTTCACCTAACTTTCCTATGTATATATGTGAATATACTATAGTAAATCTCACCATCAAGTGCATGCATAAGACACTAATAAAACAACTATAAGTAAATAGCAGAAAGATCAGTAGAATAGAGGGAAGAGAATAGGGAGAAGGAGGAGGGGAGAGGAATAGGAAGTACTGGGGAATGAATTAAAACAAATTATACTCCATGCTTTTATAATTATGTCAAAATTTATTCTTATGTATGACTAAAAAGAAACAATAAAAAGTAAAGAAGAAAATTTAATTTAATGTTAACTTTTGATATTTTGTCAAGTTCACTAATACTTTTCTTAGTTATATCCAGTGTATTTAAAAGTCTATCCATGACACTCTTCTTTCTTGTTATGGTAACTTTCAATTCTAGCATTTTCTTCTCTTTCTTTCTTATAATATCCATCTTTTACTACCTGTTTTACCCACTCTTTCATTTCGATTTCTTTACATATTAGTCAGAGTTATTAAATTTCTGTTCTGAAATTTTAAATCTCTCTGCCATTTCTCTAACTTGTTCTGATGTTTGCTCTGTCTCCTCAAACCGTTCTTTTGTCTTTTAACCTGCCTTGTACCTGATGTTCTGAGTGAAAGAAATTAAACAAAGAAGGTCCTTGCAGTGAAGGTTTTGCTTCTCTGGCCAGGGTTTAGTCTGTCTTTACCATTTGCTCTACTTGCATCAGAGGCTTAAATTTCCTCTGGTGCCCTTGTTTTTGTCTCCTTGCTGTCTTTGAGTTTTCTGCAAGACTACTTATTAAATCATATCTGAGGGAGGGGAGGGGGGATAGTAGGGGAAAGGAAAGGTAGCAGAATACAACAGTCACTAATATGCCATTATGTAAAAATGTGAGTGTGTAACCGATGTGATTCTGCAATTTGTATTTGGGGTAAAAATGGGAGTTCATAACCCAATTGAGTCAAATGTATGAAAGATGATATATCATGAGCTTTGTAATGTTTTGAACAACCAATAAAAAAAAATCGTATCTGAGACTCCCCATTCTTTTTGTTTTATCTTTCTGTTATCATACAAGAGCTCTGTTGATGTAGTGGTAAGGTAGCAGGGGAAGAAACATGTTCTGTAGTCCTATAGTCCTATGATTGGGTCTTAGTTTTTAGTGAGCTTGTGTCCCTGGGCTGTGTCCTTCAAAAATGATTCTAAGTCTCTCTACCCCTTGTGTTAGACAGCAAAGTTAGAAGAAGCTGGAGTTGAGTATTTTTCTTCTCCCAGGTAGTTTGGTCCCTGCTAAAACACTAGTAGTTTATGCTCTGCTCAAACAGGTTTTTTCTGAGAGCATCATTGTGAAGAACAGGATCCTCCAGCATATTTCAAAATGGCACCCCCCCCCCCCCGCCTTTCCAGACATAGTGTTGGGTGGGATATGTTCTCTAATCTTTACTGGTAGAGCTCCTAGAAACAAAACTCATGACAGTGTGAGGGCCCCCAGAAGATTCCATCCATGGAGCTTCTGTTTCTCATACTCATTCACAATAAGCTTCTAGAAATTCATCAATTGTAGTTCAGGTTTTCCACCTCAGTTCTAGTTTAGAAGTTATCTTACCCATAGTAAGTTGGGATTGCTCAAGTCTACCTCTCTGTCATCATTTTTTGGGTCTCTAATTTGCCTTGTGACCTCAGTTCTCTGATGGAACCAAGAAGAGTCATGGGTTTTCACATTATTTCAGCTTTGTTTCATATCATGTGGAAAGAAGTGATAACACCTAAGCCCCTTCTATGTGAATATGGAGAAATTTCCATTTGAAATTTTGGGATTTTTAATAAAGTACGCTTCAGAAATAAAAAAAAAGTAAAATTTCACTGAAGAGATTGAAGAAATAGTCAAATCTTTCAACTTTTGTACAAAAGATAAAGAAATTCAAAATATGTGATGAGAGACTATGTCAATAAATAAGTCAGTAGGAATGCAGTGCAAAGATCCAAGGACCCAGGGAATTGAGGGAAAAACTAACAAAATACAGTAGAATGTTCTGGATCTGAAGAAAGTTAGTTTAATCTTTAGATTAAAGTTTAATCTTTAGATAAAACTATGCTGATTTGATAATGAAAAAAGGACAGACACAAAGAGAGAACTTCTTGAGTTTTTTCTCACCAAGGATAAAGATTACCAGAGGGATAGTGGAAAGCTACCAGAGAGTGAAATTCACATTACTTACAAAAGGAAACTCAGACTGACTGCAGCTTCTGGTTGCTCATTAGCAATAGTGAAGGAGTGCCAGAAGTCAGCAGACACTTGTGTCAATGTTTGAGGGGAAGTCACTGAATCTAGGGTTCTGTAATCTCAATATGAATCATATGAGAAGGTAAGATGTGATATTGCAAATGGACATACCTATGGTAACAGCATTAAAATATGAAACTCAGTCTGGGGATAGAGCTTAGTTGGTAGAGTGCTTGCCTTGTATGCACAAGGTCCTGAGTTTGATCCCCAGCATAACAAAATAAAATAAAATATGAAACTGGCCAGCATAAAACAACAACAACAAAAGTTGGTAGCACCTGGAGGAAAAAGGAGAGTGTACATATTTCCATTAAAGGAAGTCAAGAAAACTTCAGGTAACCCACATCAAACCAGAGTTTCCTGCAGGTCATCTGCAGGTCAGAGTTGGTTGCACCCTCCATAGACTGACCCAGAAAGAATCAATTACAAAAACAACAAAACATTTAAAAATGAAGAACAAATGGTGATTCAAGAAATCATGGATATAACCTAAGAGTGAAAGATTAAAAAAAATAAGATTTAACTCTGTGTCAGAATGAGAAAATAGTTGGATCATATTCGAGTAGGAAATTAAAAACCTCCAAGGAAATACTTTGAAGTAGATACTGTGAAATAAATATTATAAACTTACTAATGAAATGAAGGCATATGTTGCTTTATTAAAGAAGAAGGAGAGATGAAAGGAAGGAAGGAAGAGACAAAGGGAGGGAGGGAGAAGAAAGAAAAGGAGGGACTGAGGAAGAAAAGAAGAGAGAAAGGGAGGGAGGAGGGGAGAGAGAGAAAAAAAAAGTCATTTGAATTTGCAGGCATAAACAAATTCATACAGAAAAAAAAGTCAAGAATCCAAAAATCAAAGAAAGAAAGATATGGCAAGGTTTTTGAGTAATTATAAAGCTACAATTCTTCTGATCTTGATGCTTAAAATCTTACCTTTAAAGAGCTTCACTTTGGGTAGCTTACAAAATGGCACGATTCGCAAATACCAAATCTATGAAAATCAATGTCTGTGTACTTGATGGTGTGTGCTTGGGGAGAAGAGGAGGCAGGAAGTTGGCAGAAGGTTGAGTTTCCTGTCTGGGTTGACAGCTAATGAACACATGCACTGGTGTAAGGTCTTTAGTGTAGATACATGCTCAGGAAGACACCATGCTACATAGACCCGAAAGTATAAGAGGTTAATAGTGGCTGGAACCCCCTAATGAGAGCTGTACTGTAGGAATTGATATGCATTTATATTTTAACAAAATATGCAGAAAAAACTTTTCTGGATTAACATGTAGTTTACTTTGTAGGGTTGTGAAATTGTGAGATTTTCTTCTGTTTCCTGGCTTTCAATTCTATGGTTATATAACTACAAAATAAAAATGGCTTTATAATTAAAAATGGAATAGATCTTCTAGAATTTAAAATAATTGACCAAAGTTAATTATCATGTTTATAACAGCCACACCTGTTATATAATATGGTTGCCAAGAAGCATCTTAAAAATGTGAAAATGCATCTGCTATCATGATTTGGTAGAAGCTCCTCTGAACGTCTACATCATGATGACATTACTCAGTTTTATGATCTCCATGATGAAGGACGGGGTTGGCTAGACACCGGCTGATCCTCTGGGGGATTTTTAGTGCTAATGTGGTGATTAAGACCTCCTCCTGCACCTTTCCAACCACCAGAACTATCAAACCCGTACTGGGCAAATCATATAATCTTTTTTTAACTTTAAAAATGCACTAGAGCGTATATTTCATACTAAAAATGTCTTGGTCTTCAGGAAGATGAAGAAACATCTGCAAATAAGCTAAATCTCCATCTGTGTCTTTTTCTCTTGGGCTTTGGGTTTACAGATTTTTCAAGAGGAGAGAGAGAGAGAGAGAGAGAGAGAGAGAGAGAGAGAGAGAGAGAGTTTGTGTGTGTGCATGCATGCCATCTATGTTTATAAAATAGGCAGATACTTGCTGTGTGGAAAAATATTTTGAGATGTGCTTTCTAATTTTGTGTATTTACTAACTCTTTGAAGAACAAAAATCTTAAGTGGAAAACATGCTCTGGAGAACCTATCTGTTGTAAATTTCTGCAAGACCCAGAGTCAAACCGAGATCTAGAGGAAGATTTGAGTTCCTCTAAGCTGGGAATCTCATGACACATCACCTATGTTGACAGAGATGGGTAGCTGACCTCTGAGAGGATCCAGCTCTGACCACCACCCTGACCCTTCACCTTCTCCTAATGCTTCTTCTGGAGTCAGTGGGAGTCAGATAGGACAAGGTTTACTTCTTAGGTATGGCCAAGCCAGGGTTACAAGTGCTTAGTCATTAGTTCTTCCTTGTTAGTGTCCAACCATGAGACAGGTTATTTTGGATTTCATTAAAATACTTAGTGAACAAAATTAATTGAATGGCTTTAAGCTTACATGAGATACTATATGTGAAAATACTCTTAGCTGCAAAATTCTAAAGGAATGTCTGAAACTATGACTAACATCACCATTTACTATAAATATGAGATAAATATGTAGATATATGTGAATTCATCCTGTATATCAGTCACCCATATATTATTTTATAGAGGATTTTATTTGAAAAGCATGAACTCTTTTTATTTGTATATGTTGAAAAAAAGTTTAACCTAAATTTCAGAAATATTATTTTCCTGGTTAATCAATTAGTCTAAGAGAACAACAGTTCTGTAAGGTGAAATAGGAATAATAATTATTGAGAAGAAAATGTGTAAAAGATAGAATTAAAACAGGGTATTTTCCTCTGTTGTGGCAAAGTCAGAGAAGTAAACCAATTAAATTGTTTTAAATGTGGTGTCACATTGGCCTCTGCCCTTGTTCTGAATTTTCCTCACCTAGTTCTCATTTACTGTGATCATCATGATGTCATTTTTTTCAGTGTGTTTTTTCTCTCTCCCACTTTCTCTTTCCACTACTTCTTCCTTTACCTTTTGTTCCTGTTTGCATTTAAGTTTGCTACTACAAGTTTGATGCCTACAACCTTTGTGGCTATAAATCAAAATAGGAAGTAAATATTTGCATTCATTGGAAATTTTGCAAAACAAATCTATGCAAAATCCAGCTGATGAAGAGGACCCTGGTCAGGAAGCGCCTGCTAAGTTTAAAAAGCATGAAGTGAGCACAGGCAATAGAATGTAAGAACAATATGTTTTAACCTTTTCAATAAGCCATTTTAGATAAGAACTTATTCTTTGTGAGGAAGAAACTGTTTGACATTGCTAAGAATGGATTCCCAAGTGCCTCAAACTTTCTTGGAAAAGTCTATTCATATTCACAAGGAAGCTTCTGCATGTTCACATAACATATCCAAACTAATATAATATACAGAAACTTAAGAAAACACTGTAATTTACTTTCTCTGGATTACTACAAAACCTTAAATGAGAAGCATGCCAAGGAATAAGGGACCACATGATACAACAAATAAATATTTATTACCTATCACTCTAAAGCCCTGGATATATTAAGTTAGAAGAAATAATAAGTGAATATAGGCATGTCTCAAAGCAATTAATAATACTCCTGAAAGCATACATTTGTTAAAATTTTGTTCATTATATATTAAAATTTTAGCAGATCATTACCCTATCTTTCACAACTCTTTATACTCAGGTCAAATTTAGAATTGTAAGTATTTTTGTGTACATAAATATGCATTTAAATATTTACATAATGTGATAGCAGTAACCTTAACTCATATTGTGACTCGATTGATTTTTTTAAATATAAATGTGAACATGACAATTAAATCATTTGTGCATCTTTTATAAATATTAAAAAATTTTAAACATATTCATATCCCCAGAATGTCTTTGACTGCTGTGAAATCCTATCATGTCTAAAATAGCAAATATATCCTGTATATTGTTTGGAGATTGCTCAGAGTAGACATGCTTCCTTCCCATATTATCTCTAGAGAAATAAATATGAAAGCACAACCAGAAGTATGTTCCAGTTCTCTTTTCCTGGTTAACACATTCCCCCAGAACATTGGAGCTTACAGTAGCCTGGGGAGGGCTCAGACTCAAATACACAAATATGTGAGCATATTCAGATACCCACATACATGCAAACATGGGAACACAAATATTTGCAGTCACAAAGGGACCAGTGCTGGAACATCTGTGGGTTACATGAGCATCTCCATCTCCACATGTGGCCTTAGGGCCTCGGTGTGGGATCTCTCTGCAGGAGCTAGCTGGGATTTCCTCTCAGCATGTTGGGTCAGATATCTTATACCTATCTGCTCAGCATTCCACAAGTAAGTCTTCTCAGAGAGCCCGGTAGAATGCTATGGCTTTTTCTAAAATCCATGCTATGGTGTCTCTTAGTGACTTAGGACCATCCACAGTCAAGAGTAGACAAGTTGACCTTATCTCTCAGAGGAAAATGTGTTAAAGTCATGCAATGCAGTATATGGGATACCAGATATCACTGCACCTACTTTGGGAATTTTGAACCAATTCTCTCAGAAAGATTCTTCTATGGAAACAATGACTCTTTCAGGAAAATAAAAAAATCAAGCTCTTTATCTATTCAATGAATACTAAGTCTGCATGATTTTTTCATAAAATTCCATGGGTGTAGTATATTAGAATACTATTTTAAGTTAAAATATAGGATGGCAGACTCAAAAGACTGATACATTTGAGAAGTAATAGCTGAGGAACATAAATTTTCAAATTATAGACTCCTACAAAATTGTTGTATAATCTTTCAAAACCGCTTTTCTGGTAAAGAAAACTGACAAAGTGGGAGAGCATGTTTTTTAGCCACTTCTTTAATCAAAATTTTCAGTGACTACAGCAAAGATCACTGTTATTTCTTTGAAGCAATAATGTGAAGAGAAAAAATTAACCACAAGAATAATCTCTCTGGCAGAGGTTGCTGTTTCTTCATAAATTCTGGGTGACACAAAGTCACTAGCAGGAATAAAGACCACAGTGGCAGACAGCATTGTAAGGTGCTCCTCATATTTCTCTCCCTGTCTGACAGTCTCTCTGCTATCTCCAAAACTGTGAGTCTGATAGGATGTTCTCTATGATTAGGTCAGCTTTGGGGCACACAGGTAGGAGTGAGCTGGGTGAACCTGACCTCATTGAGAAATGTAGAAAGGAATTAGAATTTTACTAAATAAAGCTGCCATCAGTCATCTGGACTGTTCCCTTCTCTATTTAATTCTTGTGAGTACATTCGTTCATCTAAGTCCACTGCTAATTGGAATTTGTTGACAAGCCAGATTTTACATAATGCAGATTATTCTGTTCTAAATCAAATAAGAGTCACCTTTGAACATCACATCTGCTGATATGTTTGCAATGTTTTATCTTCTAAAATCTATACAAAACACACACACACACACACACACACACAATACTTCCTTCCTTGATTCCATGGTGGTTAGCAAAAAGGTCAGAGAGAAAATTCACAGTTCTTATCCCAGTTTTTATTTCAATAGTTAAACTTCATAGTCTAACATAATTAACTGCCTCTGTGAAGGGAACAAAAGAAGGCCATTATTCACATAAGAATGATTTATTTTAGAAAAAAGAACTTTATATCTCTGGTTCAGAGTCAATGAAAAAGGAGAAGTTGCCAATATCTTGGGCCATTCAGTTAACACTGTGGCAAAGTAGACTCAGCTGGGAACAGTGGATCCATTAATACCAATGATCCCCATAAGGTCACCAGACTCTAAGGTCACCAGACTCAGATGTTCTGTTACTGTTTACTACCCCTTTCCAATTTAAAATCTGACTTAGTAAAATAAATAACCTGAATCATAAGTCTACTCATTATACTTTTCAGGAGAATCCATAAAGCACATCAGCATATTGAAGTTGTTGAGCAGCCCTTACAGAAAGAAAACTGCTCTATTAATAAAAACAAAAAACAAAACAACAAAACCCAAAACAACAACAACAACAACAACAACAAAAAACACTCAGCATTTCACAATGATTTTTGATTCTGATTCTTTCCACACTCAAT